GAACATCTTGAAGCAAAAAAATACAGAAAATCTCTATTTTTTCAAATTTAAAAAATATGTCGAAAATACACTCGGTTCACCCTTTTCATTATATTAACATCAACTCAATAAATTTTTTTTTTTATAAAATTTTATTTTGATTAAGAACCGTCAGTATGCTCTTTCAGGTGTATTTCTATGAGAAAATGTTTAAATAAGTAGGCTAAAAATTGAATGTTAAACAAAGTTTCATATCAGATTACTGATAAAAAATCAATTTGAAGATATATATATATATATATATATATATATATATGAATAATTTGTAATTTCAGTTAACACATGCATTTTCAAATAAGTTGTTACGAATTTGTTAATTATTCATGCACAAACCATCAATTTCTTCATTCTTACGATATTTAGTATTTTTATTTAAACATTTTTGTGTGTGTATATATATATATACACACACAAAAATGTTTAAATCAATTAAAATAATAAGAATGGCACGTTATCCTAGAGAATCAATACTGCTGACAATGGGTAAGAATAAATCCGTTACCCATTATGTTTCAATATGTTGGATAAGGTATGGGTAAAGAAAAATTTATTCATTTATCCACTTATCTATTACCCGTTTACCCGACATTTTAATGGGTACAACATGGATAAAGTGTTTTTCGTTATCCATTTACCCGCTTATATATATATATATATATATATATGTGTGTGTGTGTGTGTATACATATGTAAATATGTGAGAACCACAAATATGTACAAACTTGTGAGAACCAATATACAAATATATTTTACATGATATTTTTTTATCAAATTATAGGATTTAAGATATTACTTTACATATATTTGTTTCATAATATGATAATTTCACATGTATTTGTTTCACCACGTTAATAATTTTTACGTATGTTTTTCATTTCACTAGGTGAACCAATTTTTTTTACATGTAACATTTTCACAAGGTGAACACAAACATATGTAAAACAATATTTTTAATCATAGGTTTTGATGGAAAAAAATTATGTAAAAAATATTTTTATATCGGTTCTCATGAATTTATAAATACACACACACACACACATATATGTATGTATATATAGAGAGAGAGAGACACACACACACATATATGTATGTATATATAGAGAGACACACACATATACATATACGACTTGAGATCATGTGAGACAAAGGGTTTTTCGTGAGACCCGTAAGACCAATTCTCAACCCTTGGATTAGATCTACAATCGTCAGATCTAAATATTCACAAACACCACGAGACTTCTCAATAATCACAAAATTGTCACCGTGCAATTTTAGACCATTAAATTATTAGCTTATAAAGTTAATCAATGAACGTAAATTGGAATTGGTCTTACGGGTCTCACGAAAAACCCTTTGTCTCACGTGAACTCAACCCTACATATACGTACCTACAATTATATAAAGTTAAATATCAATATATTTTTTAGAATGTTATATTGTATAACGTATATTAATTGGTATTTAATTTTCTTTTTATATTCATCAGCTAAAAAAAAGTCAATTAGTATAGTCAAATGAAAAGCAATATGGGGCCACTAAAATAAATGTTGTCTTTAGAATTTTTTATTGTTATGTAAAATATCATATCATAACATATTTAAAACAATATCACAACTTAACGTTTATTGGAACAATATTACTGTGGTTAAAAGTGATTTTTTTTACCATTCATCCACTACCAGTTTCGTTACCTGCTATCTTAGTGGGTAGGGTATGTATATGGATAAGAGTTTTATGACATGGATAATTACTCATCTCGTTACCGGCTATTTTAAATGGATTGGATTGGATTGGATAACAGATTAACTCTTATCTTACTCATTGCCAGCCTAAATATCAATGATCGAAATTAAGCACCCCAAAATTTCTTACGTGTCTACCTATGGAAGTATCATTTATTCACTAGAAGTGTACTCGCGCAATGCAGCGATATATATCTCGATTTTAATGTTTCATTTTATTATGTTCCTTGTCGATGTTATGATGTGATTTTATGTGGTTTTGAGAAAAACAATAATGTTTTATTTTTGAATAAAATACAAATACGAAAATATCTTAAATTTTTTAAAAGAATATATCGATATTAGTATCAAATTAACTATTTAAAAGTTCTTGTTTTGTTGTGTAATTTATTTAATTCAGTTTCTTTATTATTATAATTTACTTTAAGTTTAACGAAGTAATTTATTTTTGATTTAATAATATATTTTTTTATAAAGATAATAATTAAGTATTCTGTTAGAATACAGTGATTAACCTAATTATATTTTAGATTTTTTATTTTTAAAATGAAATGTTTATCCAGTATTTGATCATATTGATCTGCAGTTAGTTATACGAATTCAAGTATGGAGTCTTAATAAGTTGTACTTATGCGTTATTTACTTGTAATATTGAATTTTAAGTAATATGCATCAATGAACAGTATTTTATGTATAAAAATAATTTTTAAGAGTTTTTGTCAAATGCTTTATAATATAGTATAAATTTATGGATCCAAAATTTCATAAAGTGTTATAACATGCGGAGGTTACTTAACATACGTTTATAGATGGACCACCAAGACGTTTGTATTTTGGTTTGTCTTAAAAACTATACCTTTTATCTATAAAATTGTGAGCGAGTCAAACTACATTTATTTACATGGAAGTCCGCAAAAAATCTTATGGGCGTCCGTATTTTGCTCTGAAAATATACAAAAAATAGAAAAAGTTAACACACGAAACCCCGAGAACTTTTCTGTGGTTGGCAAAAACTCAGGTTTTTAAGTCAAACGTTTACTTTACGGTTGAAGAATAATCTTTACGGAATTTTTTTAATATAACAATGTACAAAGTTTAAGAAAATAATTGTTTCTCAAAATACGAAGTATGTACATTTCCTCTTCAAATATCTATCAGTCTCTATAAATTTTAATCAGTGTTTGAGATTGCTTATTTGAAACAACTTGTGTTTTTATACAAAAAGCATTTATCAACTTATTATAAATAAAAAATGTTTAACTTCTTCAAAAACTTCTTATTATCGGTTTGATACCGATATAAGTTGTTTTTCCAAATACTCAAAAATGCTTATTACTGGTGCCACACCGGAATAAGTCAATAAGTTGTTTTTATAAGCAATCCCAAATAGTTACAAAAATATAAATGGGTGAGGTTGACATGTCGAAAGTATTTGTTTTATCGTCCAAACTTGTCGATTATTTCAAAAATAATTGTCCAAGCTCTTTTTTTAACATATTAAATAGATCGAATCTGAAAAATCGTACTATTCATGATCAGCTCTAAAGCATACTTATAGAAATTAGCTATGAACCGTTATCGTCGTTTATAATACCACACGTTAACCATCAAAACGCTATTCCAAGTAGCGTATCAGTAAACTAGCTTATAAATTAACTCATAAGTTAGCTTATGTGCATCCAAACGTGTACCCAGAAAATAAACTAGCTTATTTTTGCCAAACATTGCCTAAGATACTTAGGTTAATTGATTAGACTTAATATTTTTTGTTTTTATTTTTATTTAATAACTAATATAAGTCGTAGATGGGAAAATATCATGTGATATAACACGACAAACAGATTCTTAATGTCATCGTAATTTATGGCTTCTCAAATAAACACTTTTAAATGCACCATTATATATTGTTAGATGCATATGTACCTACTTCTCAAATAAACACTTTTAAATGCACCATTATATCTTCAGTATATGATTGACCTGATTCTAACATAAATAATGGTATATATAGAGGCATAATCAAATGCGAACTCAGTAGTTTGTGATAACTGTGAGATCGCCAATCATTTCAGATAATTAAGAATGTTTCTTAAATAAACTAAAGAAATAATTTAGTAATTTTGTTTATCACAACTCATCAATGAAGTGTATCAGGTAACGTTTTTATTCGAAGTGTATCACGGTATGGATCTTCGTTATTTTATGAAGTGTATTACAATGTGCATTTTCGTTATTTGCGTTGCTTTAGAAAGGGTATTACATTGTGCATCTTGTATTTCATAATGAGTATAGTTTGTATGTATTTCTTCAACACAGTCGATTTTTAGGTATCACGATCTGCATGTTATATTTGCCAGAATAAGATTAACCGGAGAGAGAAGAGATGAATAGTTGAAATTGAAACATCTGGTTATTATAAATTACTGAGTTATTTGCTTTAATAATCCATATGTATAATATTGGAAAAGGAAAAGGAGAATCTCAAATTAAGACATTGATAGAATAATCACAAAAGCAGGGTCACCTAATTCCAAAGTAGCTCAATTTCTCTTTTATTATTTATTTTTCAATTTATCATGAGAACATGTCTACATATTATCATCTCGTATATAAAAGCACAAAATCAATTAATGGTGGCAATTTCGTAATAATAACCAAGACCCGACCCGAGCTTTTAAACAACTCCCCTATTGATGACAGCTTGTCGTCTTTCAAACGGGATAATGGACACAAAAAAGGAAATATAAAAAACGATTTTATCCGGTGTGCAGGAGCTACACATTTCGCAGAAAACTCAGCCGTTTGATCCATCTTCTTAGTGGGACCCAGTCGAGATCAACGGATAAGATGTGGGAGTACTGTAAGGAGAGGAGTAGGGTAGTGTTACTTCTTGGTCAAGCCAAGCTGAAGTACAGCTGCAGCGCGAGATTCTGAGCCGATGAACTAGACAAAGTAGCCGGCTTACTGGGACCCACGTTCACTCAATTTATCACTTATCCATTTGTGCTTATTGATAAGCTAGTTGTTCTATGAGCTAATAAGTGAAACCACTTATCATCCATCTCCTATAAAAATCGCCATTTCTGCAAGTAGTTTCGTATTTTTATTTTCTCCGCACGATAGGATAGAGAGAGAAAGTAGAGAAGGAAAGAAAAGCATAGATATATACATGTATGTATGTATCTATATATATATATATATTCAGAGCTGACCTATATATAGAGAGAGATAGAGAGAGAGAGAAAGTAGAGAAAGAAAGCTCTCTATTCTTCAACCTCGACTTCTTCGTTTTCTTCATCTCTGTACTATCGTCAATCGATCTTGCTAAGGTGCTTTCTTTGAGCTCTGTGTTTCTTGGAATCTCTCTCTCTCTCTCTCTCTCTACTGTATACATACATACATATATATATATACTCTCTCTCTTGACTTGCTTTATTTTGCCATTTGTGAACTACTTTTTCTTTCTTTTGCATCTTCGATTCCCAGTTGTTTAAAGCTGCTTTCTTTTCTCCGATCCACCAAAGAAATCCAAAATTTTCTCTTCTACAAATATATATATATATATATATATATATATACTTTTCTTATGATTATTGTTGATATATGTCGGTGCATGTTCATCTGGTGAGGACCATAAATGGGATTTTTGTCTATTCGTTTAGATTTGAAGTTCAAGTTCTTAGGGATCTAGTTTTTGGGTCTGGGTTTTTCTAATATGTTCTTTTTTTAAATTCCCCAAGTTTTTGTTTAAATAAATAAATAATTAAATTTGGGTATTTCTTTTTACTGTTTTAGATGAAGTTAATGGTGGCTGAACCCTTTTTTATTTTCTCATATTTATGGGGTTTTGCAGATCTGCTTTATTTTAAAACTCCGATAATCGTTCGCCGGATTTACCGCCGGCCGGCAGAGTTGCAATGTCGTCTTTAAGTAGGGAGCTTGTGTTCTTGATCTTGCAGTTTCTTGATGAAGAAAAGTTTAAGGAAACTGTTCACAAGTAAGTTTTGGATTTTAGATTTTAGGTTTTAGGTTTCTGTTCTTCGATCATTTCTAGAAATTTATGATTGTCTGATTTCATGGGCTGTTTTTTTCTGTTCTTCGATCATTTCTAGAAATTTATGATTGTCTGATTTCATGGGCTGTTTTTTCTGTTCTTCAATCATTTTCTTGAAATTTATGACAGGCTTGAACAAGAATCAGGGTTTTTCTTTAACATGAAGTATTTTGAAGATGAAGTTCATAATGGGAATTGGGATGAAGTTGAGAAATACCTTTCTGGATTTACGAAAGTGGATGACAATCGGTATTCGATGAAGATCTTCTTCGAGATTAGGAAACAGAAGTATCTTGAAGCATTGGACAAGTAAAACCCAAATTTTTCTGAGAGTAAATTCGTGCAGATTTGTTGTGCATTTCTTGATTGATGAGTTTATACTTCGATTTCCATCGTAGGCATGATCGATCCAAGGCCGTGGAAATCCTTGTTAAGGATCTTAAAGTGTTTGCTTCATTTAATGAAGAACTTTTCAAGGAAATCACTCAGTTATTGACTTTGGAGAATTTTAGGTACTAAAATGTAACATTAATCTCTTAGAAACGTCCGAAAAGGGTTTTTAATCGTCTGTTTGCGGTTGCATTTTTAGGGAGAATGAGCAATTGTCTAAATACGGAGATACGAAATCAGCTAGAGCTATAATGTTGGTTGAGCTCAAGAAACTTATTGAAGCAAATCCTCTGTTTCGTGACAAATTGCAATTTCCGAACCTTAAGAATTCAAGATTACGGACTCTCATAAACCAAAGGTGAAACTTTACACATTTGCATTGTGTTTATGAACGTATGCGAAACGCCTTTCGTATAAATCTTTATTCGTTTTGCAGCTTGAATTGGCAACACCAACTTTGTAAAAACCCTAGGCCAAATCCCGATATCAAAACTCTGTTTGTAGACCATTCTTGTGGACAACCAAATGGTGCACGTGCTCCATCGCCTGCTAACAATCCACTTCTTGGATCGTTACCAAAAGCTGGAGGCTTTCCGCCTTTAGGAGCACACGGGGTTTGTATTTTGTCCATTTCTCAATACGGGTATTCGGTTTCTCGACTTTTTTGTGATTATTTTGCATCTCTTTTATGTGTTAAGCCGTTTCAACCTACACCAGCTCCAGTTCCGACTCCTCTTGCTGGTTGGATGTCCAATCCGCCGGCTGTATCTCATCCGGCAGTATCCGGTAGTGCAATTGGTCTTGGTGGTCCATCTATTCCAGGTTAACGTGGCTATACTGGTTGAAAATTATGCATCAAATCCTTTGATAATTGACTTATTGACACTTTTTCTGGTCCGATTGAGCTTTACAGCCGCTTTAAAGCATCCAAGGACTCCAAATAATCCTTCGTTGGATTTCCCATCCGGGGATTCTGATCATCTTAGCAAAAGAACAAGGTCCATGGGCTTAACCGATGAGGTGATTGATTTAAATCTTCTAAATTTTCTTAATATTGTTAGTCTTTATTCCTTCCGTCTGTTTGCTTACATTCTTGCACAAGATGGGGGCCTTGACGGAAATAGCTCTCTACCCTGTTGGGATAGAGGTCGTTGCGTACATCTCACCCCCTAGACCCTACTTTTGAGTGGGATTTACTGGGTCCGTTTGGTTTAGTTTACTCTTGCTAGCATACGAGCATATTGACGTTTCTTTCGTGGTTTGGTTCTTTACACAGGTAAACCTTCCGGTTAACGTGTTGCCTGTGTCGTTTCCGGGGCATGGTAGTCATAGTCAAGCTTTCAATGCAACTGATGACTTGCCCAAGACCGTTGCACGTACTCTAAACCAGGGTTCATCTCCTATGAGCATGGATTTTCATCCTATACAACAAACCTTACTCTTAGGTATGTAACTGTATTTTGCTTTTGCACAAGCTGAGGGTCTTCATGGGAACAACCGCTCTACCTTTTCAAGTAGAAGTTAGGACTGGGTACATCCCACCCCTCCTAGAAGAAAATTGATCTAAATAGCCAATAAGCAAATAGGGTTTCACTTTTTAGCCATTTTTTGACCCATATGTGTAAGGATATTGGTTTTTAGTCAGAAAATAGCTAAAAAGTGAAACCACCTATCTGCTTTAGCTATTTCAGTAAATTCCCCCCCCCCTCCTCCCTAGACCCTGCTGTCGGTGGGATATACTGGGTTTACTTGGGTTTTTCAGTAGATACTGACTTGTGGTTTCATAAATGCAATCAGTTGGAACGAACGTGGGTGACATTGGATTGTGGGAAGTTGGCTCAAGAGAAAAGTTGGTTCTTAAAAACTTCAAAGTTTGGGATCTTAGTGCATGTTCAATGCTTATGCAGGTATGTGATACCTATTCAATCACCTATCAACTTTACGTATCTTAAGTCTTATCAATTACCCAATTTAGGCTGCACTTGTAAAAGATCCCGGCGTCTCAGTGAATCGTGTGATTTGGAGTCAAGATGGTTCGTTGTTTGGTAAGTCCCGCTAAGCTAATAACCGCATAACATGTGAAAATACTTAATGAAAAGTTGATTTCTTGACGATTTTATGCAAACAGGAGTTGCATATTCTAGGCACATTGTACAAATATATTCGTATCATGGAAGCGATGATGTGAGACAACATCTAGAGGTACTGGTTGTTCCGTTCTGCTTACTCACTACAAAAAAATTGGCTTTATAGGACGTCAAGACTGCTTTATCAGACTTTTACATGACCGAATAACTGTGTCTTATGTAGAAGTGTTGCAATAAGTTATCAAGAAGTTTTTGGTTGTGAAGTAAAACGTCATATCAACTTATTGTAGCACTCTTATAGGATGTACAATTGTGATCCTATAAGCTTAAGGGTGTGTTCATTAGCAACTTAATAAGCTTAATGGGACTCGCAACTTATTCGGTCAGCTATGCATGACTATTTGGTAATGGCTTAATGATACAGAAAGTGGTTTATTCAGTAAGCTTCTAGGGGGAACTTAATGCAGAAAATCAATTTTTTCCCAAACATGCCCATCCCAATTAAAAAACACACTCTTTCCATCTATGAAAAAATCCTCTCAAACAAAAACCTTCACAATTTATACGGACTGATTAATCAACACAAACAACTTATTCCGTACAGTACTTAATGAAATACCAACCAAATAACCCTAAAAAGAATAAAGCAATCTATTAAGACATTTAGACATATTTGATATCCTATAAAGCCGATTTTGTTATACCGACTTATCTTTCCCAGCAAAAGATGAATAACAATGGTTTATTTCGTTTTTCTAGATTGATGCTCATGTTGGCGGAGTAAACGATCTTGCATTCTCTCATCCGAATAAGCAACTTTGTGTGATAACTTGTGGAGATGATAAGACCATCAAGGTTTGTTTAACGTATATTTGTGGTCGACCACTATGGAATGATACTGAATTCTTGTTTGGTGTCTTGTGAATCATGATCGTAGGTTTGGGATGCTGCAACGGGTGCGAAACAATACACTTTTGAAGGTCACGATGCTCCCGTGTATTCTGTATGCCCTCATTACAAAGAAAACATCCAGGTAACTTACGCCTAAACATTCAGTGGAAACAACTGCTTTACTCTTTCAGATAGAGGTCAAGTCTTTATACATTGTAAGATCCCACATCGGTTGAGGAGGGAAACTAGGGTTGCCTTATAAGGGTCCGAATACCTCCTCTATCATACGCTTTTTAGAACCGTGACCGCGAGTCCAAGTGTGAACAAAGCGGACAATATCTGGTACGGAGATGTTACATTAGCCTCCCCAAACCCCGCCTATAGGTGGGATATATTGGGTTTGTTTGGTTTAATCCGACATATCGTGTTCTCAACTTTCTTCAAAGGGGTGTTGTCTTCCATCTTTCTAAGCCTTTTCTGTTCTTTTTTGGCCTTAGTTCATATTTTCAACGGCTCTTGATGGGAAGATAAAAGCATGGTTATATGATAATATGGGATCCCGAGTTGATTATGAGGCTCCTGGTCGTTGGTGCACGACGATGGCGTATAGTGCTGATGGAACAAGGTTAGGTGCAACTCGATCGTTGTATTGGCTTATTTTCCTATTTAGCATATACGTGGACCATTTTATGCTTAGGGTCTGTTTGTTAACAGCTTAATAAGCTTAATGAGACTCACATTCGGTCAGCTCTACGTGACTGTTTGGTAATGGCTTAATGATATATAAGGTGGCTTATTCAGTAAGTTTCTAGGGAAGAGCTTTATGCAAAAAGTGAAGTTTTTTTCCAAACCCGTCCCTCCCAATTAAGAAAGAAGCTCTTTCCATCTATGAAAAAAACCTCTCCCAAACACAAACAAACAAATTAATCCACACATATAGTTTTATCCATTAAGAACTTAATGGAAAACCAACCAAACATCCCACTAATATATGCTGGAACCTCCCTTCTATATTCTTACATGGTATCAGAGCCAAGAGCCAAGGTTTACCACTCTTGACACTTGGGGCAATCTATATTCGTGTAGCCTCCTCACCCGTCTAGCCCCCTTTGGGACAATCTGCACCTGTCTAGCCTCCATCAGAGAGGGCGTGTTACAGTCTCATATTGGCTAGACTTGGACCATTTATTCTCGATACATGTTGGAACCTCTCTTCTCTCCTGAAGGGCTCTTTTGGAGAGTAATCTAATGGGGTTTTACATATTTTCACATGTTAAACTTTCGGAGTTTGTAACTTTTTTTGGTTTGGGTGATTATTTCAGACTTTTTTCATGCGGAACGAGCAAAGAAGGGGAGTCGCACATTGTAGAATGGAACGAAAGTGAAGGAGCGGTGAAAAGAGCATATCTCGGATTCCGTAAACGATCTTTAGGCGTTGTGCAATTTGACACAACTAAAAACCGCTTTTTGGCAGCTGGTGATGATTTCTGCATCAAATACTGGGATATGGATAATGTTCAACTTTTAACAAGCGTCGAGGCCGATGGAGGTCTTCCGGTAAATGCTATTCATTTCATATCAAGCACAAGTTTCAAGAATTCCCAATTCTAACTCGTCATTACCTTAGGCGAGCCCGCGAATCCGATTTAACAAAGACGGAACTCTGTTGGCTGTTTCTGCTAACGAAAACGGAATCAAAATCTTGGCAAACTCGGACGGTCTTCGTTTACTTCGAACTTTCGAGAACCTTTCTTATGATGGTGCTTCAAGAGCTCCCGAAGCTCCAAAGGTAAATGGTTCAAAACTAACGAATATGTAATCCGAACTCCGTTTTTGCAGCATACATTACCGAGTAACAGTTGTATTATCGAATGCAGCCTACCTTAAACACGATATCTGCTGCCGCTGCTGCCGCTAGTGGTGCCGGACTAGTGGAAAGGGTTGCCTCCGTTGGCTCCATCTCAGGACTGGTCGGTTTAACAAAATATTTACTAGTTCTTGATTAATAACATGATTCTTTACAATCAGATTATAAGCGGTCGTAAATTTCCTTATGCTAGAATGGGGATACGAGAAGCATGGTGGACGTGAAACCGAGAATCACCGAAGAACCAAATGACAAATCGAAGATTTGGAAACTCACGGAAATAAGTGAATCCTCTCAATGTCGATCATTGAAACTCCCGGAAAACATGAGAGTAACAAAGGTCTATCATCGTTATGATATATTTAATGACACGTTTAGGCTATGTTTGGCAACCATAAGCTAGCTTATTTTTGGAGCTTATTGAAAAATCCCTGTTTGGTAAGGAATATGCAAGCTTATAAGCTAACCTTTTGAAAAACTACTTCAGATAGCTTATTGAGTTTTTCTTTTCTTCCAATTATGCCACTTATATTGTCCTTTTAGGTCATTTTACATCGTCATCTAGCTTATAAGCTAGTTTTTACAAAAACATGACTAGTTTATCAACACACAATTAGCTTATCATCTAGTTTTTTTTTACAAAACATGACTAGTTTATCAGTTACCTTATCAACAAAACAGTTAGCTTATCAGCTAGTTTTTACAAAACATGACTAGTTTATCAGTTAGCTTATCAACAATCAGCGAGTTTATTAGCCAACTGTTAGCTTTTCAGCCAACATCTAGCTTTTCAGCTAGTTCCTAGAGAATATATGATTTGTTTTCTTATAATTTTCTTGTTTTGATGTCGGGAATCAAGCTTGATTCATCGTTTGTTTATCATTGATGACACAGATATCGAGATTAATATATACGAATTCAGGCAATGCTATTTTAGCGTTAGCATCAAATGCTATTCATTTGCTTTGGAAATGGCAGCGTAGCGAGCGTAACTCGAGTGGCAAGGTAAGAGCGTCTGCTATCGGTTTCCCTATAAGTGAAAATTAAACCGAAATTTGGTATTTTTTTACTTATGCTCAAAATTTACTACAGGCAACCGCGGGTGTTTCACCTCAACTATGGCAACCTTCAAGCGGCATTTTGATGACCAATGAATTTACCGAAACCAACCCTGAAGAATCAGTTGCCTGCTTTGCATTGTCCAAAAACGATTCATATGTTATGTCGGCATCGGGAGGAAAGATTTCTTTATTCAACATGATGACATTTAAGGTAATGTTATGAGTTTAGAAAAAGGTAACTTACGCTGCAACTAAATCGGCTTTATAGGACGCCAAATATGTCTAAATGTCATGATAGACTGTTCTATATGACTTAAGTTTATAGGACCAAACAACTGTGTGTCATATATAAACGTGTTACCGTAAGATAACAAGTTTTTTAAGATGCATCTTTTTATAGGACACTTGTTTGTGTAAGATCCTTCTCCAAATAACGTCATATAAAAATAAGTAAATTACGTTTTTCGTCCTTGTGGTTTGTTAAAAATTGTGATTTTCATCCCCGTGGTTCAAAAATTGCGGTTTTTGTCTCTATGGTTTGTGATTCATTGCTATTTTCGTCCTTGTGATTTACAAATTATTGTTGCTTCGGTCAGTGTGGTTTGAAATTCTTTATTGTTTTGGTCCCTTTTACTTAAAGGAAGGAATTAGTCCAAGGACGAAAATAATAACAAATTGCAAACCATAGGGACGAAAATAGCAATTTCTAAACCACGGGGAAAAATCGAAATTATAAACAAACCACAGGGACTAAAATCACAATCTACTACTTTATAAAAAATATTAATAGGACGCTTTATTTCAAGAGTGTTCTAAAAAACTGTTAGGATGCCCGATCTCTGTTCTATCAACTTATTGTAACACCTTTACATAGGACTAAGTTGTTTGTTCCTGTAAACTTATTATGGCATTTAGACATATTTGGTATCCTAAAGGGTGCGCTTGATGTCCAAACAGAACAAGACATGACGGGACATGATATACCGGATAAAATGACCAATTTGCCCCTAATGAGTTGTTTATATATTTTGATCAACTTATGTAATTTATTATAAAATGATATTTTTATAACAAAATATATCATTAGAAATTTTTTGTAAAGACGATTAAAATGACACCAAAATAAAAAGTTTATGTAGTTTCCACTTTTTATTTTATACCTTTTCTATATTTTTTTATTATTAATATTTAATAAATCACATAAATTAATCAAAGTATAAAAAACCGTATAAAAATACATTTTGAGGAAAGTAAAGTGAAAGTTTAAAGAGCATAAATTACAATAATTTTTTTAAATAATGAATAAAATGTAAAAGGAGGCATATTTGATGTTTTATAAGAGATTTAGGTTTTATTTTGAAGTTAAATTGGTAAAAATATAAGTCTGTTCCACCTTGTTCCATGGGGTTGGGGTGGAACACGCCTGTTCCACATAAAAGTCCTGTTAAACGTGGAACGGTGATTTCTGTTCTGTTCTGTCCTGTCATGTCCTGTTCAGTGTACCGAGCTCATCCATGAAGCCAATTTTGTTATAGTACTACTGATACGGAAGTTTCGGTGTTATTCTTCAACGTGATGTTTATATTAACTCATCGGAAACTGCAGACAATGACAACTTTCATGCCTCCGCCACCAGCGGCTACGTTTCTTGCTTTCCATCCTCAAGACAACAACATAATTGCTATTGGTATGGACGATTCAACCATTCAGATATATAACGTTCGTGTGGATGAGGTAAAGTTTACAAAGAAACCGTCACACTCTTTTGTTCGATCATCTTTCTTGATCGCTAATTTACCATTTTTAAACCGAAGGTCAAAAGCAAGCTTAAAGGGCACTCGAAAAGAATCACGGGTCTTGCCTTTTCTCACGTTCTCAACGTTTTAGTCTCATCAGGAGCGGATGCTCAGGTTAGTACGATCAAGAACTATACTTTATTGAGAATTTGCTATCTAGATTCTTACTTTTAGTGTCTTGATGTTTTTACTTCAGCTTTGCGTATGGAGTTCCGATGGATGGGAGAAGCAGAAAGCACGATACTTGCAACTTCCGCCCGGAAGAACACCGACGGCGCAGTCGGACACACGGGTGCAGTTTCATCACGATCAGATCCATTTTCTTGTTGTACACGAGACCCAACTCGCTATTTATGAAACAACAAAGCTCGAATGTGTAAAGCAGGTGACAAACTCTTCCTTTTTTTTTGGTAATTTGTGACGAACCCGTGTGTCTGAACCGGTAGTTTTTTTTTTTCAGTGGCTCGCACGTGAATCTTCCGCCCCGATATCGCACGCGATGTTTTCATGCGATAGTCAGCTCGTATACGCAAGTTTCTTGGATGCAACCGTGTGCGTTTTTACGGCTTCACATCTTCGTTTGCGATGTCGCATCAATCCGTCTGCATATCTTTCTCCTAATGTCCCAAGGTAAAATCTCTTAAGCCTTAAAGACACCAAATATGTCTAAATGTCCTAATAGACTGCTTTATAGGACACACAATATGTCTAAATGGCCTAATAGACTGCTTTATAGGACTTTTATTTATTTATTAAAACAGTCTATATAAGGGGCTGTTTGGTTAGTTTTTCATCAAGTCCCGATAAAGTCGTCTGTATGGATTAATCTGTCAGTATAGATTATAATTTTTTTGTTTTGGATGGTTTTTTCCAAGTGGAAGGAGCGTTTTTCTAATTGGGAGATGCATGTTCGGAAAATCTTTTAGCTTTCTGCATAAAGCTCCCCGTAGCAACTTATTGAACAAGTCATTTTCTTTATCATTAAGCCACTTTCGAAAAGTCCTGTATAATTGACCGAATAACAGTGAATCCCATTAAGCTGCTTATAAACAAGCCCTTAAAACTTTTGGTGTTTTGTTTCAGCAATTCAAACGTGCATCCGTTAGTAATCGCTGCACATCCACAAGAACCAAATCAATTTGCATTGGGGCTTTCAGATGGCATCGTTCATGTTTTCGAGCCTCTTGAATCCGAAGGCAAATGGGGGGTTCCACCACCGACTGAAAACGGTTCAACAAGTAACATAGCAGCTGCTTCGGTTGGAGGCTCGGGTGCCGAACAATCCCAGAGATGACTCAGTCGATTTCATGGTGATTTTTTTGTTGGTCCACAAAAAATGTAATCTAGTCGATGACTGTAGATCTAACTTATTCGGTTTCTGTAAATTACTAGATCTTTCGGTTTCTAAGCAAGAACGTTCCAAAACCCGTATCCGTGCTTAATCAAAGTTCTAGAAATTTAACTCCCAGTAGTCTAGTACGTTATGTAAAGAAACAAACCAGATGAATCATGAATAAAGAAATTTCCATTTTATACCCAGAATATTTACAAGAATCTTTTCAAGAAATCTTGATCTTAAGACAAATATTACAAGAAATCTTGATCTACAAGAATTTTTCATTTTATACAGAACCATCCCAGAATATATACAAGAATCTTTTCAAGAAATCTTAATCTCAAGATAAATATTAAATAGATCCAGCCATGGATGCTTTTATTTACTTTACAGCTTCCATTTTTATGGAAGAAAAAGCTTCACATTCAGCAGGTATCTGGTATTTACAATTCAACAAATTCTCGAGTCCATGAGCACCCAACTTTATGTACAAAAAGTCGTCTTCTTTGGGAATCATTCGGGCCGAAACGTCATGAGATCCGGGAGGTGGGATTCGTGGAGTCGTTTTATATCGTTTGCTGTCACCTTAGTGGACTCCAAGCTGAGTGATTTCAAGTTCTTGAGCTTCGTTAGATGCTGCAATCCTGCACTGGTTACCCGTGAACTCGAAACATTTAAAGAGACCAATTGTGTCAATTCTGCAATGAAACCAACCATATTTTCAGATTCGTGCTTCTTTAAACAAGAAAAAGGTATGGGTTTGACAGAAGAAATACCGGAAATCAATTCCAGAGATTTATCTGTCAGGTGGTTGTTTTGAGATAGATTCAAAAGCATCAGAGATTGAAGATTCTTGATGTTTTTCACACCCGCATCGGTTAATCCCCCACCACAAATTTCTAGGGATCGCAAGTTCTTGAAATCTACACAAAAACGAGGAAAAAAAAGATTCAAAAGCTAGAAATAAGAACCGTCACTAAGGAGATCTCTCAATTATATGCGTTTGGTGCGTGGGACAGAACGAGACAGAACAAAAAAAAATTGTTCCATGTTTGGCACAATATTAGACTGCAACAAAACGGGACTAACTACTAAGTGGGATAAAAATGCATTTTTTTGGTCCCACCAAAATAGATGGAACAAATATAGGGAGATAAAACAAGATCGGTAAATTACTAAACTACCCATGTCAAATTAAAACCCTAAAACCTTCCACAATTCTTTCACCCACCAATTGTTCTATCCAGTCCCATTCACGTACCAAACGCACCTAAACTACAAACTATCATAGGGAAGTATAGCATACTGCGCAAATAATTCGTCCCATTGTCGGTTATTTTAGCACAAAAGAGATCCAAATGAGTTAATCCAGTCAAACCTGCATCACAAATAGAAATCAGAATATTGAAAACTAGAGCAACTGTATGAAGGGATGAATGGAAGGTGTTGTTTGTTTTTTCCAGCGGTGTTTGAAGTCTGAAGTATTATTTCACTTCTACTGATAAAGTCCGACAGCATAATCAAGAAGACTGTTTTTATAAACAAATAAATATGTTCTCTTTTAAGTTGGTAAGTTAGAATATCTTTAGGTAGACATACTTGTAAGAGCTGCAAGTCCGGCATCTGTGATTTGGCGAACATCTAAATTGAGGGATCTAAGAGATGACAATTTAGCCAAGTATCTTAACCCTCCATCAGTAATAATAGTGAATGAAAGGTTCAAACTTTCCAAATTCACCAAACCTGCAAGATCATATAAACTTCCATAAAGGTCAAAAAGATTGAAGTGGGTCATCATATATATATATAAAGAGAATGGCTTAACCAGATAGATGACGAAGACCGTTGTTTCCAACTTCCGTATCAGACAATTCCAAACATTTCAAATGATCAAGACCTGACAACCACATACATATGTACATCAATATATACACAAATTAATGAATATAAGACAACCAATTAAGAAAGTAATGATTAATTAACACAAAAATCACCTGCTAAGTGTACCAGTCCTTCATCCCCTATTCGACATGAATCCAGATTCAAACTCTCCAAATGTATCAAACCTGCATGGAGCACCCCCAAAGCTTAAAAATACAAATTTTTGGAACACACTGATGTATAACTTTTGGTTCATATCATGTTAGAGTCTGAAATCGGCTAGACAACTCGACATATTCTCACATGGTATTATAAGCAAAGGTTTACCACTCTAAGAACTCGACACTTTGGGGCAATCAATACACGTCTAGGCCCGTCACCCGTCTAGCCCCCCTAATGACACTGAGACAATATGTACCCATCTAGCAAATGGGGCATCTTAAAGAGTCCCAAGTTGGCTAGACTTTGACCATTTCTTCTCAATATATGTTCAAACCTCTCTTCTCTTCCCAAAGACTCTTTTGGAGAGTAATCTAACGAGATTCCACATATTCTCACATGGTATAAGGTGGGACTCGACAATCTGGGGCAATCTGTACTCGTCTAGCTCCCTCACCCGTCTAACTCCCTATCAACACTCGGGCACAATTTGTGCCTGTCTAGCCTTTCGTTGAAGCGCCCAACATTTGATTCTCACATCAGCTAGACTTGGACCATTTATGCTCAGCCACCAAATTTACCTTTTAGCCATTTCTCTCACAGTATTTCAAAAAAGTTACCACCTCCGCAAGTAATCACTCCTCAACTTGCGGAGGGGTCAATAAAAAAGTTTTGTGTGAGGTGGGCATGCGGTTGAGATGGTTCCACAAGTGAAGTTTGAATGAGAGTTCTGCAAGTGGGTCCATGAGAGATGGTTCCATCCATAACTGGGCATGCATTTTTTAACTTATCAATGCCCCTCCGCAAATTGACGAATGGTTACTTGCGGAGGTGGTGACTTCTTTGAAATCTTGGGAGAGAAATGGCTAAGAGGTAAATTTGGTCGACTAAAATGGCTATTTGTGCCATTTGGCTTTTTGCTCACTATATGTTGGAACCTCCCTTCACTCCTAAAGATTCTTTTGGAGACTAATCTAACAGAGTTCCACATATTCTCACATATCGGTTTAGTGCAAGTCCTAATGCAAACATTTTTACCAACACCTTGTATAAAGGATCAAGATTATGTCAAAATCCATTTGCTTGTTGAAGACTCAAAAACTTACAATTATTCTGGACCGTGAACATGTCGGTTGAAAATAAAAACAATCCCAGATACTAGTATAACGTACAAGTGAAAGTTAAAGATTCACCTTTCAGGTGTGCAAGAACAGCATCTGATATATCATTAAATCCCAAGTTCAGCACTTTTAGAGACTTCAGCTCTGCATGAACATGACAATATAATGGAGCTCCAATGTTATAAAAACTTCTAGCCATATAAATGTTCACAATGAAAAAGTCACACAGTTTCAGAAATATGCAAGTATTACACCTTTAAATTAACTAAATGACAATTTTACCCTTACAAGTAAAGGAAGTAATGGAATTCTCCATCTCATAGTTAAGGGTAGAATCAGAAACAATTGAAAGTGGACAACTATTTTGAAGCACACTCAAATACATCACAAGGGTACAATAAGAGGGCTTACTTGAAAACTTGTCACACCCATTGTCAGTCAGATTAGATCTGCTTACATTCAGATAAAGTAGAGCAACAATATCTGAAATAAAACAAATAAGTTGAATCAGAAACTCGAATTCCTGTTCTATAATGAGATAATGTGAAAGAAAAAAACGTAACTTTATAATCTTAGGTGCTGTTTGTTAACAGCTTCATGAGCTTAATGAGACTCAGCTTATTTGGTCAGCTATATATGATTGTTTGGTAGTGGCTTAATGATATAGAAAGTAGCTTATTCAATAAGCTTCTAGGGGGGAGTTTTATACAGAAAGCCCAATTTTTCTCCAAACTTGCCCCTCCAAGTCAAAAATCATACTTCTTCCATCTATGTAAAAACCCACCCAAACAAAAACTTTCCCTATCTACAAAGACAGATTAATGCACACTGACAACTTCATCCATACAGGACTTAACAGAAAATCAATCAAACAACCCCTTCATATGCACTTATTGTAATTCATATTTTGACCAACTTAAACATATCCATCGATAATACTTCATCTTGTTACCGACCGCATACATGCTATAACAACATTAATTGAAGATTTTTCAACCAATTTATATCATTATATGAACCTGAAAGTGAACCCAAGCATGCTGCAGTTATCGGGCAGCGTTCCATATTCAGCAATGCAAGCTTGTGTAAACCTGTTAAAAGCACGTACTAGTTTTAGATTTTTAATTTGCTGTCATTTAAGTCAACAACATTTAGGAAGTTGCATATAAAGATGACAAATAACCCGAGAGACCTTTCAAGAATGTGACACCATGATCTGTGACCTTGCTGCAAGAAATTTGTAATTCTTTCAGGTTTGTTAGCTCTGAAACATAAGAAAGAACGAATCATCACCATAATACAAGATCACGGTACGTTTGTATGAACACTGGTAAAATATCATAGCCCATAAATTGTAGCACATAAAATGCTCCAAGTTTATAAAGAAGTGATCAAAATTGGTAAATATAGCATAAACAGTATTCAAACTTTTTTAAGAAGTTCATTACAAAGTATACTAAAATCTAGAACCCGTACAAGATGGTAACATACTCTTGATCACAAAGAGGGCTGGACTAAACTAGCAAGAGTGAGGTGGGCAGGTGAAAGAATTTTGGAAGGTTTTAGGATTTTAATTTGACATGGGTAGTTTAGTAATTTACCAAAATTTTCACATTTCCCTGCTCTTTGTTCCACCTATTTTGTTGGGACCAAAAAAATGCATTTTTGTCCCACTTGTCAGGTCCAGTCTAATTGTCATACCAAGCATGGGACTACAAGTTTTTGTTTTGTGCTATCTTGCATACCAAAAGCACCCTAAGGGTGCGTTTGGTATATTGGACAGAACAGAATGGGGATCACTGTTCCATGTTTGACAGAAATTCTATGTGGTACAGAGTGGAACAAAGTGGAACAGAAATGTTCCACTCCCACCCCATAGAACAAGCTGAAACGGACTTATGTTTTACCAATATAACCTCAAAATAGAACTCCATTCTCTTCTAAAACATCAAATATGCCTTCCTCTTCACATTTTGTTCATTCTTTAACTTTCATTATTGTTTTGTATGCTCTTAAAATTTTCACTTTACTATCCTCAAAATATTATTTTTATGTGGTTTCTATATTTTTATTTATTTATGTAATTTGTCAAATATTAATAATAAAAAAATAATATAGAAAAAGTGTAAAATAAAATTTGGAAACTACATAAACCTTTTAATTTGTTATCATTTTAATCTTTTGACGACAACTTTCTAATGATATATTTTGTTACGAAAATATTTAATTTATTATAATTTAATAAATTACATGATTAAACAAAATATACAAACAACTCATTAGAGTTAAATTGGTCATTTTATTTGTTTTGTCCAGTACCGTCTTACCAAACGATGGACAGTTGTTTTGTCTTGTTCTATCATGTCTAGATACCAAACACTACCCTAAGAGACTGTCATGAATCCACATATAGAATACAAACCACAACTACCTGAGAGAGGCTTCATATCCGCATCAGTAATGCAGTTACAACAGTTGATGTTAAGTGCCTCGAGCTTTTTCAGACCTGAAAAATATTGAAATACCACGATCCCTATTTTAAACAAGATCGAATTTAAACTCCAAAGCAATATAAGCACAATGTTAGCATTGAGCTTTTCCAGGTGCAACTTTCGTCTTAGTGAAAAAAGGTTACATTTTTAACTTCCCAAAACCAATCTTTAGCAAATACTCCCTCCGACCCCAAATAAGTGCCCATATTTCTATTTTAGTTTGTCTTAATCTAAGTTTCCCCTTTCAGTAAGTGCCTACTTTCCAATTCTACCCTTAATTATGGAATGGAGAAATTCATCACTCCTTTTTTTATTAAGGGAAAATTGTCATTTTGTTAATTAAATATGTAGCAATTACATATTTCTAAAACTATGTGCCTTTTTCATTATGGACACTTATTTTGGGATGAGGGGAGTATCATATCAAGCTCATGATGCTTGTTATTGCTAACCTCACACGATGTCTTATTATATACAACATGTTTGATGAGATAAAGAAAAGGATATTATGAGGTAAGTCGACATAAAAGACCTCTTAGATGAACAAGACCACCATGGACACCATGACATCTTTCCAAGTCCAACTTTAACAAATTGATTAATCCTGAAAGCACACTCATCCCTTTGGCGGTAATGCTGCTATTCCTTTTCAAACTCAAAGTTGTCAAGTTTGAAAGACCTGAAAGATTAAGCCATAATCAGTAAGACCAAAACAAACAAGCCCACTGTATCCCACACATAGATGAGGTCATGAAGAGTAAGATGTACTCAGACCAGACCTCTACCCCCTCTACCCTAAACAGTAGAGTGGTTGTTTCCAAGAAGACCCTCAGCTAGTGAGAAAGTGTGTGAAATTAAAAAAAGAACAGATAAGCTAAGATTTGAAAAGCTAGATATGAGCGATGTTTGTTAGTAGCTTAATGAGCTTAAAGGGACTCGCAGCTTTTTCGCTCAACTATAAACGATTGTTTTGTAGTGGCTTAATGATATAGAAAGTGGCTTATTCAATAAGCTTCTAGGGGGAGCTTTATGCAAAAAACCAAGTTTTTTTCCAAACCTGCCCCTTCCAAATTAAAAAACAAGCTCTTTCCATTTAAAAAAAACCTTCCCAAACAAAAACATTTACAATCTATTCAAGCAGATTAATCCACAAAGACAACTTTATCCATACTGGACTTAATGGAAAACCAACCAAACAGAAAGCAATAACAATATGATTGCTAAAAGAGCCTGCCATGGCATTCTAGTCTTGGCATAAAAAACCAAAAAAAAAGAAAAAGAAACCCGCATCTTCCAAATTACATAAAGATTGATATGATGATAAGATCATTAAAAACTAAGAGAAGAAAAATACCACTAATTCGGCCAAGCCCGACATCAGAAATCTGGTCACAGAAATTAAAGTTTAAAGCTTCAACGTTCTTGCAGTCTTTCATATGGAACAAACCAGAATCTGTAACATCAGAACCAGAAAGATCTGCAGAAAGTAAAGATGATCCCTGTGAGCAGATGATATCCATCCAGGCATCATCAACCCCTGGATATTCGCCTAAATTAATGTCCTGCCAAAAAAAAAGGTAATTCTCATTAAAAATCTTGAAATTACAAACTCCAACCTCACTATAACAAAATCAGCTTTATAGAATGTCAAATATGTCTAAATGTCCTAATAGTCTGCTTTATAGGACTAAACAATTGTGCTCCCTATGTAAAAGCATTATAAAAGTTGATAGAAGTTTTTGGATGTTCTAACAAGGTTTTCTGAGAACTGTTGAAATAAAATGTCTTATTAGCTTTTTCATACAACACTTTTGAGAAGTGTCCTATGAAGACATCCTTTTATATAACACTTGTTTTTATATCACAATTTTCATATTGTCATACAAAAGACAAAAAGCGTCCTAAAAACTTGTTCGGACTCCCAAAAATGTCCCATCAACTAACTGGATCATTTTTACATAGGACACACAATCATTTGGTCATACAAACTCAACTCCTATAAAGTAGTCTATTAGGACATTACTGTTTGGTTGGTTTTCCATCAAGTTTTTTAGGATAAAGCTATCCATGGGGATTGATTTGTCTGTATAGATTAGGAACATTTTTGTTTGGGAAGGGGTTTTCATAGATGGAAGGAGCGTATTTTTTAATTAAGAGAAGCAAGTTCAATAAAAACTTGGCTTTCTACATAAAGCTCTCGCATAGAAGCTTAATGAATAAACCACTTTCTATATAATTAAGTCACTATCCAGTAGTCATGTATAGTTGATCGAATAAGCTGCGAGTCCCATTAAGTTCATCAAGCTGCTAACTGACAGACCCTTAAACATATTTGTTATCCTACAAAGCTGATTTCGTTGTAGTTTCTGCTACTCATGATTAGATACCTGCAGAGCACAATCTTGAAAAGCTTCAAGACAAGCCTCGTTAAGCCGTTGAGAATAGACCAATTCATCAAAAATCTGCTGACTGATATCTCTTGGAATCATAGAAAAGGTACCATATTGATAAATTTCCTGTTGCATAGCAAAGATATCACTAACCTCAACAGCAAAAGTGACCAAATATGATCAATCACTCTGCTTTATTATTAAGAGAGTAACATACCTCAGAAATTTTATAAATGCACAATTCCATTAGAGACGGGCATATTGCCTTTCCGTCTTTATTGTCCACATATGCTCGAGAAAAAGAAGTTCCTAGCCATTTTGAGCTTCCACTTTTAGAATATCTTCTAGAAACACCTCCATGCACATTATCTTCGTTGGTTTGTTGATCTCTTTTCCTAGAACAAGCTCCCCCCATGGTAATTCAACCTTACAACCTACAGAAACAATATATATATATATATATATATATATATATATATATCAAGTCTAGATGTTATAGATTTCAATAAGGTATAGCTCTTTTTTCGATCTATTGAGGAAAAAGGAGATATATTTCCATATTTAAATGAAAAGATGGTTCCAAAGTGTTGTGAAACACACATGTGATGCAATTTTAACTAGAAATTTGATGAATATCAACCCATTAACAAGATTCATCATTCATATTTCTTAACAATTCTATGATTCAAAAGAATGGTAGAGCATCTCCAACAGCTATGTTACATTTTCTCTAAAATAGAGTATTAACAGTCTAAATCTCTTAAAAATTTACCTTCAACTCCAACAGCTATTCTATTTTAGCAATTCTAACATTAAACATATCATTAAAATATTAAATACATTCAATAAAATATTATATCTCTCCTAAAAATTTATGTTCAATACTTACGCATTGGTCGGAAAGTATAAAATAATAATTTCTCTTTCTACATAGAGATTTTTAAAATCACTGTTTTAACATACAAGATAGTATAGTTGTTGGAGTAAAAAAGTTGGTATATTCTCTGCTTCTCTATTTTAGCATAGCTGTTGTGCTCCTGGGGAATTACTATTTTTAGAAAGCCATTGGAACAAGATTGTAGTAATAGCTCACATGTTCAAGAGTAATTTCATGTTTCTTACTGCAAACAGAAAGTATAAAATTTAACTGAAACAACACAGTCACTCACAAATTAGCATCCATTGTTCATCATTTTCAGAAGTTAATTTCAATTCTGAAAGATAGGTGGTAAGTAGAATTAACCTAACAATTAGACACAATAAAGCCCTTGAAACAAATTATAGAAACAAAAATCAACAACAAACGAGTATGAACATAAACTACAAACCCAATTGCGATTACTATAAGCAAGAGATTTAAATGATCAAACAATCAAGGGTTGCAACCAAAATACCCATTAACCAAATTCACGACTAACACTACCATCAGAAGAAGAAAACGAAAATAGAACAGGTTTTACCGAAATCGATGAACTCAATTCATGAACAAACCAAAACAATCATTAAAGCAAAGGATGAAGAAGACGAACCTGATTACAGAATCTGGTGTGGTAGTGAAAAGTAAGAGCGGAATTGAAGAAAAACAGAAGGGAAAACGAGAATCCAATCTGAAGAAGAAAGGGGCGATCATTGGGTTTGAAGTGAAATGTTGAGAAAACCCATTTGGATTAAGAGTATGAATTTTATGATGATGGAGAGTGGAAAAGGAAAGAAGAATGGAGAAGGTAAAGCGTGTAGGAGTGCTGACGAACCAATAATCGAACCGGCGGATGATGTCAACGTGGAGGCTCGGAGTTTGATGCTTCACTCACCAAGAGGGGTTGGGATAAGACTTAAGAGGTCCCACATTAATATTAATATTATTTTCATCATACAATAAAACAAAATTGAATAAATAATTATTTTTTAAAGACAAAAATCTATATTATATTATAAAGTATTTGATAAAAAATTTAGATTTAAAATTCAAGATTAAAAATAAATTATATGTAAAAAATAATTTATTATAGCTCCATACTTAAATTCGTATAACTGACTATAGATAAACATAATTAAATGCAAGATGAACATTTTATTTTAAATATAAAATATAATTAAAATAATTATCGAATTCTAACATAATATTCAATTATTATCTTTGTAAAAGAATTATATTGTTAAATCAAAATATAAATTGTTTCGTTACTAAATCTAAATTAAATTAAATTATAATAAAAAATTAAAAAAAACAATAATTTTTGAATAGTTAATTTCATATTAATATGGATATATCTTTTTCAAAATTTCATGATATCTTTAAATTTATATTTTATTTAAAAAATAAAAACATTATCGTTTTCTTAGAACCACATAAAACTGTATTATAGCGTCGACATGGACAAAATAAAATGAAAGATTAAAAAATCAAGATGTATTGCACTGTATTGCACGACTACCCTTCTAGTTACTCAAAATAACCATTTCAGTTTTATACATTTCTCTCTTAAAATTTCAAAAATGTCACTATCATTGCAAATAATCTATATTTGACAACAACTCTTAAAAATTATTATTTATATATGAAATATTGTTTATTTATGCATACTACTTACAATTTAAGATTACAAATAAATTGTGCGTAAGTACAACTTATTAAAGCTTCATATTTGAATTCGTGTAACTAACTGCAGAAAAACATAATCAAATACAAGATAAACATTTTATTTTAAATATAAAAAATCTAAAATATAATTAGAATAATCATTGAGTTATAATATAATATTTAATTATTATCCTTATAAAAATATTATATAATTTATACTATATTATAGAACATTTGACCAAAATTATTTAAAAAAAAATTTGTGCATGAATTACTGTTTATTGATGCATAATACTTACAATTCAATATTACAAATAAATTGTGCGTAAGTACAACTTATTACAGCTTCATATTTGAATTCGTATAACTAACTGATAAATATTTGTGTAACTTATTAAAGCTTCATAATCAAATACAAGATAAATATTTCAGTTGAAATATAAAAAATATAAAATATAATTAGGATAAGCATTTAATTCTAACAAAATACTTAATTATTTTTCTTATAAAAAATATTATATAATTAAATAAAAAATAAATTAATTTGTTATTAAATTTAAATTTAATTATAATAAATAAAAACTACACTAAAGAAATTACACAAAAACAAGAACTTTCAAATAGTTAAGTTGATACTAATATCGATATATTTTTGTCAAATTTTTATGATATCGTCAAACATATATTTTATTCAAAAATAAAAACATCATCCCTTTCTCAAAAACCACATAAAACCATATTAGAACATCTATATAGACGAAATAAAACGAACCGAGATATATCTTGTTGTATTGCGTGAGTACCTTTCTAGTAACTCTTCAACTTGGGAAAGGGTTAAAGTGTAAAGAAATTTGAACATGGTCCGTAAGTATAAAGACCAAATCTATAATTAGTTAAAGGTCCACAAGTGGTACTTTTGCCTTTATTATGAACCATGTTCAAAAATTACTTTTCTTTACACTTTGATCCATTCACAAGTTGAAGAGTTGTTACTTACGGAGGTAGTGACATTTTTGAAATTTTGGGAGAAGAATGGCTAGGCCGTAAATGTGACCATTGGAAATGACTATTTTGAGCAATTTCCGCACCGAAGGTTATTTAAGAGGATTTCTAATGTAAAGTTCTTATAAACAAAAAATACGGGTTTTTAGAACAACTATTGTTAGAGAGAGTTTTGTAAGAATATTATATTTTTTGTACAAAACCTTGGTTCTTACCTTGAAATTTGTGTAAACCGAACGTTTTTGTTATTTTTTTCGTAAGTGTTGTCGACTTTGTAATTATTATTGACATTAATAAAGATTTAAAAACATCATTCAATGTTCAAACGATGTTATTGAATCATGTTTTATGATCGTTTGATCCAAGGCGAACGACTATAACCCTGAAGAACAAGGTGGTATCGTGTTTTTCTAATTACATATACATTTTCTGTTAAATAGTACCAAAATCCTTCGTTTTGCACAACCTTGTTATTATGAAACTTGAAGCTCCGAGAGTTGCACGTATAATATGCAAATCGACCAAAATAGTGATTTCAGCCGAAACCCTTTTCACTTTTTAGCCCGTTGGACCAAAATAACCAAGATTTAACAACTTGCAGAATATACTTTTTTTTTAATTAAATATGAATCTAGTTATCGACTTGCAAAATGAGTGATTCGGCTTGCGACACCTCCTTACGGGCTTGCAAAATGGTCCACAAAAAACATATATTATTCATAAAAAATACATTTCACAAGTTGCAAATAAATATCCTGCTGTGGTTGATTTTCCATTAAGTTCTAACATGGGGTTGTTTACCAAATTTTTTAGGGAAAAGTACAATAAAAACCAATGGACTTTCTTGTTTAAAATGATTAAGTCCTTGGACTTTTTTTTTGAACAAATAAGTCATTGGACATTTCAAAACATGTTAAATAAGTCATTGGACAATTTTTTGGAACAAATAAGTCATTGGACATTTCAAAACATGTTAAATAAGTCATTGGACAATTTTTTGGAATAAATAAGTCATTGGACATTCCAAAATATGTTAAATAAGTTCTTGAACAATTTTTGGAACAAATAAGTCATTGGACATTCCAAAAAATGTTACATAAGTCCTTGGACAATTTTTAGAACAAATACGTCATTGAACAATCCAAAACATGTTAAATAACTTCTTGAACTTTTATAAAACATGTTGGATACATTCTTATGACTTGTACAATTAGTTAAAGTGGTAAAACATGTTGGATACATTCATATTTTGAACGATTAAGCCCCTAAATATTTTTTGAACCAAAAAGTATTTAGATCTATAAAATTAAACAAATATAACAAAAAAAGTACTTACATTTACAAAAAAATAATTACATTTAAAAAAGATTTTTGATAAAGTTTATTTTAATTAAAATTAAAATATATTCTGTCAGTGATTACTGATGAAATTTATTTTAATTAAAAATAATATATTTTATAATTTTTTTTATTTTTTTAGTTTAAAAAATCACTGACAAAATATATTTCCGGATTTTTTTTCCACTATTTTACCACTTTAACTAGTTATACAAGTCATAAGAATGTATCCAACATGTTTTATAAAAGTTCAAGAAGTTATTTAACATGTTTTGAATTGTTCAAGGACTTATTTGTTTCAAAAATTGTCCAAGGAGTTATTTAACATTTTTTGGAACGTCCAAGGACTTAATTGATCAAAAAATTGTTCAAGAACTTATTTAACATATTTTGGAATGTCCAATGACTTATTTATTCCAAAAAATTGTCCAATGACTTATTTAACATGTTTTGAAATGTCCAATGACTTATTTGTTCCAAAAAAAAGTTCAAGGACTTAATCATTCTAAACAAGAAAATCCATTGGTTTTTATTGTACTTTTCCCAATTTTTTATTAAGTCTTGTATGAATAAATTTGTCTGTCTGGATAAATGGGTGTTGTTGTTTATTTTTTTTTATACGAATCAACAGTCTGAATAACATAAATGACCGATTTCCCCCCTTAATATTAATTATTTGAACATCAAAACAAAAAATCATAAAGAGGCCGAAGATGAGGTATCTCATATGGGAAGAAGGCGGTGCTCTAAATAAGGGGTAGGGATGTCATTTTTGTGGCTAAATGAGGACAACACACCATTTCTATCTGTGTGATTAAGCCAAGTTCTGTGCGAATAAGCCATAAGTAAACAACCCAAATGAATCGTGCGAATAAGTCAGATAGACCAATAAGCCTAATTAAGCCGCAAGTAAACAACCCTTAGTTGATTTTTCATTAAGTTCTATATGGACGAAATTATCTGTATGGATTAATCTATCTTTATAAATTAGAAAGATTTTTGTTCGTGATAGTTTTTTTCATAGACGAAATGATTATATCTTTTAATTAAGAAGGGCAAGTTCGAAAAAACCTTGGCTTTCTACATAAAGCTTTCGGCCTCCTCTAGAAACTTACCAAAAAAGCCGTTTTCTATATCATTAAGCCACATGTATAACCAAGATCCAAAATGGCATTAGATGTAACGTGACAACCACCTCAAGCCATTAAATGGGTTTGTAGAACCATAATGAATCAACTACAAACAAGACAAGAAGACTCTAGATTCTTCTAGAAGAAAACTTCAAACATTTTCATGTTATACTTACTTGTCGAATTTCAAGCAGGAAGCTTCCCAGATCTAAAAATGGCGAACTTTGAAACCTCCGAATAACAAAACCTAATTCCATTCTCATTCAACAGCTTTTCCATCATCGATTTAGCTTCATCAGGATCATCACTCTCACATTCAATCTCATAATTAACCCCAAATTCATACTGCGTTTCATCCAATTCCAATTTCAATCCATTCCAATTATAAACCGCCCGCACATTTCGAAACCCTCCTAAGCAAACGAGATCCTTCAAATCAACCCCAAATTCCCCCGTCACTCTCTCCAAGATTCCGGAACTGTAATCGTCGGCGATTGTCGAGAACCTCCACGGCTCGGCGGCGCAAGCGCGGGCGACTGCGGGGTCGAGGATTTCTTCCTGCTCCTGGATGCGACTGATTCCGGCGGAGATGGTGGGTTTGGATTTGAGGGAGAGGACGGAATGGGAATCGAGGTCGTAGAAACGGAGGCGGAGGGCGGCGAGGTGGGTGGTGGCGAGGGAGAGAGATGGGGTGTCGAAGAAGAGGTTTTGTTGGAGGTGGGTTTTGGTGTGGTAAGGTGAGAGGAGATCGGAAAGTTTCTGGTGGGCGGCGGAGTCCGGTAGCCGGAGTTTTACTTCGACCTCCATAGTGGTGGCGGAGATGGAAGCACTTCTGTGAGTGATTTGTGAGGATAATCTTGAAATCCCGATCTTCATCGAACGTACCATTTTCACATATTCATAAAACAAAAACAAAATTTTGTATTTATCAAATAAATAATTTATAATTATTTTATTCATATTGTGAAATAATTATTGAATTTGTCAGTTAAATTTTTCGAGTCGAGCCAAACATGTTTATATGATCATAAATTATACAATAAAAATATAAAAATTATTAGCATCAAGTCAATAAATGAGTTAATCGATCGTGTGTTCGAGTCCATAAACGAGCATGAAGCTCGAGCCCTACATTGGTAAAGTTATTCGAGCTCAAACCTGGTATTTTTTTAGTCGAGCTCGAATAACCTACTACTTGATTCGGCTTGTTTATACCTTAATTCTGATACAAGCACTGTTTTAAAAGGCTCGCTGCAACAATTGTCATAAGGCGTTGTGACTCAAAGCTTGTGTCTAACATAATGCATAGTTATTTTTTACGTGATATTTGAATTTTCATACATTTTTAGTGTCTTATTTGTTACTTTTAAATATATATAGGGGTGTAAATGATACGAGTCGAACTCGAGTATCATTATACTCGACTTGAACTCGAAACCTAATTTCCAAGCTCGAACTCGACTCGAAAACTCGCGAATCAAAGCTCGACTCGAACTCGATAACTATTTCTCAAGCTCGAATAGTAACTCAAATCAAGCTTGAACTCGAACTCGAATCAAGTTTGAACCAAGCTTACCCATTGAAATTTTAGGGTTTTTCTCTTATAAATTTTAAAATTTAAAGGTGTTCTCTCATATTTTATAAAACTAAAGGGATCAACTTCAAACTTCATCATAAAAAAAAGACAAAGTTAGAAAATTTCATTCACATCCCTCTTTTTTTATAACATATTTTCTCCTTTCTTTTACCATCTCTCTTCTAGACAATTTCACCAATCCTTTTTATAGTTTTTCTTTGTCTTTTTTTTTTTTAATTATGATTTTAATAAAAAAATTGATCATTATTTATAATTAAGAAATGTTTTATATTTTACTAGAAGGGTACTCGTGTAATGCAGCGAGATACATCTTCATTTTAATATTTTGTTTTATCTTTTGTCTTTGTTGATATATAATATGGTTTATGTGGTTTTGATAAAAATAATGTGTTTACTTTTGAATAAAAATAAATTTAAAGATATCATAAAATTTTGAAAAAATATATCGATATTAATATCAAATTAACTATTTAAAAATTCTCGTTTTTTTACAATTTTTTTAATTCAATTTTTTATTATATTTAATTTAGGTCTAATAACGAAAATTTTATTTTTGACTTAACAATATAATTTTATAAAGATAATGATTCTGTTAGAACTCAATGGTTATTCTAATTATATTTTAGATTTTTTATATTTAAAATGAGATGTTTATCATGTATTTGATTATGTTTATCTGCAGTTAGTTATACGAATTAAAAAATGGAGCTTTAATATGTTGTACTTATGCATAATTTACTTGTAACCTTAAATAATAAGTAATGTGCATTAATAAACAATACTTCATACATAAAGAATGATATTTAAGAGTTTTTGTCAAATGCTTTATAATATAGTATATATAAATTTTATCATAAAAACTGATTATATTTTAAAACTAATTATATATAAAATAATCGAGATTCTCACGAGTTTTTCGAGTCGAGTATTGGGTAGCTTGACTCGACTCGTTAATATGTCGAGTCGAGCTCGAGCAAGCCTATTAGAGTTGAGCTTTGACTGAGTCGATCTCGAATAGCTTCCTTACTCAACGGTTTGCAAGAACTATCATCAGGAGAGTTCTTATAAAAACCTCATACCCTCTAGATAAACGTTTGTATAGTAACCTTGATTCTTACCATGAAGTAACATTTTCCATGTTTTTTATTTTATTTTCTCGACTTTATAATTATTAATTAAAATTGATACATTTATTTTGTTTTTTATGTTATTGATATGATAATGAATGTGGTTTGTGGGTCCCATTTGAGAGGTTGATAACGAAATCATGTAACAAACGAGAAACAGTTAAGATTAGAAAGGATATATAAATGCAGAAAAACCAGGAAGCAATAAGCATCGTTAAATGATCCCCCAATTTGAGAGTTATTTTGATCTAACAAAAACACAAAAAAAATGGCCAAACAGGAGACGTATGTTGGATCGATTGATCAAGGAACAACAAGCACCAGATTCATCATCTATGATAACAAGGCTCGACCCGTTGGATCTCACCAGGTCGAATTCACTCAGTTCTGCCCACAAGCAGGGTAATCAATTCAATTTTTGTATCTATATGTATCTCTCTCTCTATATATATGTATATGTATGTATGTTGATATTGATGTTGATGTTGATAGATGGGTGGAGCATGATCCTATGGAGATTCTGGAGAGTGTAAGGATATGTGTAGCAAAAGCGATAGATAAAGCCACCGCCGATGGTCTCAACATCGATAATGGCCTGAAAGCCATCGGAATCACCAATCAGAGAGAAACCACCGTCGTTTGGAGCAAATCCACCGGTCTTCCTCTTTACAGCGCCATCGTCTGGATGGATATTCGTACCAGTTCCATTTGCAGGTTCATTCTCATCATCTCTTTTCTCAAATCCCCCCCCCCCTTCTTAATGATTGCATGTAATCATGTGATTGGTGGATATGAATGAGAACAGAAATTTGAGACGGGTGATTTTTATCCACGACGAGAAGGATTGGCGGTCCAATTTAGACGGTTTAATCCCTTGAACCATAAACTAAACCGCAATGGTTGTTTAGAAAAATTTCCAAACAGTCAAATCAAACCACAAAAAGGTGGTATGATCTACCGGTTCAGGCTATTTGGCCCTCAACGGGCTTTAAACTTTAAAAAAAACCTTAGACATTTATATTTAAAATTGAAATTTATACCAAAATAACATTGTTAAAAAATAGTATATCGAATTATAATAGAAATGCCTATTGTTAATTAAAAAATATATATTGAATTAGTTGAAAAAAGTTAAACAATTTCACCAACAATAGATGGAATTATGGACAAATATTGAGCAAGTCGAAGGTTGATTTGGAATTTCAGAATTTTGAATCTGATTTTTGACGGGTTTCGGAATTTTGTTGATTTAGATAAACGGTTAATTAAGAAATGAAAACTAAAAACATAATGTGTTGGGCAAACTTTTTCTGGTTGAGCCCTAAAAAATGAGCCTACAACATGAAGAGTAAATATAATTAATACATGTATATTTTTGGGTTGGTTCGGTCTAGACCGCTCAAAAAACGTTCAAACCACAGACCAGACTAAATTGAGCGGCTTGGCTATTTTCTAGACCAGACCAAACAGGTAGAACGATCCAGTTTAACACCGGTTTGAACGGTCCAACGATTTTTTTGAACATCCTTAGATCAAATCATAAATTGTCCTATCTAAAAACGTTACAACAGATTTATAGGATGCTTTTAGCTTTTAAAATAAAGTGACTTATTAACCATTCTTTAGAACACTTTTGACAAGTGTTTACTAAACCCATCACTTTATAAGACATTTGTCTTATAAAATAGTTAATATGACACTTTATTTTAAAAACATATCCTAAAAAACTCAATACTTTTAGAGATAATGTTTTTTGGTTTGGTCCTATAAACTTAAGTCATATGAAATACTTTTTTAAGACACTTCTACATTTTAGACGTAACACGAAATCAATGTCTTTGTAGTCTCTTTTGATCCAAATGACCAAAGATTTCATGATGGTTTTTGGATCAGGGAATTAGAGAAGAAGTTATCAGGTGGAAGGAATCATTTTGTTGAGACTTGTGGGTTGCCAATAAGCACTTATTTTAGTGCACTTAAGCTGCTATGGTTGCTGGAAAATGTCCAAAAGGTTGCCGAAGCTGTTAAGAAGGGTGATGCACTCTTTGGAACCATCGACTCGTGGGTGATCTGGAACTTAACCGGAGGTATTCATAACGGTATACACGTTACAGATGTGTCGAATGCATCAAGAACGATGCTTATGAACCTTAAAACACTAGATTGGGACAAACCAACGTTGGAAACTTTAAAGATTCCTTCGGGAATCCTACCAAAGATCGTTAGCAACTCTGAGATTGTCGGTCATGTAGGACAAGGATGGCCGTTTTCTGGGGTTCCGATTTCAGGATGTTTGGGTGATCAGCATTCAGCCATGTTGGGTCAATCTTGCAAACAAGGACAGGCAAAATGCACTTATGGAACAGGTGCTTTCATACTTCTGAACACCGGTGGGGAAGTGATCAAATCGACCCATGGTTTATTGACGACTTTAGCTTTCAAGCTCGGGAAAGATGCTCCTGCAAACTATGCTTTAGAGGGTTCGATCGCGATCGCTGGAGCTGCTGTTCAGTGGCTGAGGGACAGTCTTGGGATCATTAGTAGTGCCAGCCAGATTGAGGAGTTGGCAAAACAGGTTGACTCGACTGGCGGAGTGTACTTTGTCCCGGCTTTCAACGGACTCTTTGCACCATGGTGGCGTGAGGATGCTCGTGGTGTTTGTATCGGGATTACAAGGTTCACGAACAAGTGTCATATAGCTCGAGCCGTGCTTGAAAGCATGTGTTTTCAGGTGAAGGATGTGTTGGACTCTATGCATAAAGATGCTGGTGAGAAAGAGAGGCATGAAAAAGGGCAGTTCTTGCTTAGGGTGGATGGTGGTGCTACTGTTAACACTACCCTTATGCAGACCCAGGTATATTTTCTAAATTCTGCATTTTACGTTCCCACGTCAGCTATATTTGGACCATCTAACCTCTGTTGGAACTTCCTTTTGAAGGGTTCTTTTAGAAAGTAATCTAATGGGGTTCCATATATCGGTTTTCATTCTTTTTTTCCTCAAAAACTGAAGGGGTTTGTTGCAGGCTGACATTATGGGTACACCGGTTGTGAGACCAGCTGACATAGAGACAACGGCACTTGGAGCAGCGTATGCAGCTGGTTTAGGTGTCGGAATTTGGAAAGAAAATGATCTATTTTCAAACGAGGAACGAATGAAGCAAGATACCAAATTCACTCCTGCATTAAGTGAGGAGGTGAGGAAGAAGAAGGTGGCTTCTTGGTTCAAAGCTGTGGAAAGATCATTTGATTTGGCTGATTTATCCTTCTAAACTCCTACTATTATTGGTTGATCAACCTATTTCACTCCTTTAATCGTTGTTTTCGGTAGTAAAGATACTTTTCCATTCGTCTTTCTGGTGTTCATGGTGTTTGTAACTGCATTCCAATAATATCGTTAGTGTTTTTCGAATGTTAAAAATGACCATGCTTTTGGTCTGCTGTCATTGTACCTATTCGTTACTTTTTCTTACTTGTTTTTCTCGTGCTTCGTTCACCTTATAGTAATATTTATTCATGTTACTTGTTTGCTCACACTCTTGCACAAACCAAGAGTTTTCACAGAAACAACCGCTCTACTAAGAGTATAGGCCAAGTTTACGCACATCTCAACCTCCCAAACCCTACTTCAAGTGGGATTTACTAGGCCTACAAAAATTGTACCAATACAAAAGATTATCAAGTATGAACTAAACGAAGTGGTTCCTTGATCCATTACATATCATTAGCATTAGGGGTGTACGCAGATTGGGTTAGAAGGCTGACAGTTTAGGTTGGGATGTGTTCTTGTCTAACTCTCTCTATGCCTTTTGGTCTTACCATGCCTTTGTATGCTTTCACTATACCTATTCGTTACTTTTTCTTGCTTGTTTTTTCTCGTGCTTCATTTACCTTGTACTGATATTTATTCCTGCTACTTGTGTGTTCACACTTTTGCATAAACCAGGGGTTTTCATGAAAACAATTGTTCTACTCTTTGAAGTAGAATTCAAGCTTTTGCACGCGGCCCCAACCCTACTTCAAGTGGGAATCTCTGGGCCTAAAAAGAAATAGTGCCAATACAAAAGATTATCAAGTAAACTAAGAGGTTCCTTGATCCATCACATATCATTACCAATTTAGCATAGCTTTCTTGTGAATAAGAAGAATATTTTTTAGAACAAAAACCTAACAAATTGCTTGAAGCAACTATGAGATTTTTGTTAATGTTCATCATAACTATCATCTTTTTTATGTATTCACTACTACTGTCATCATCAATATCAAGTTGAACATGCCAAACCTGTATATGAAGGATTGGCAAATCAGTAGGCAGCCGCACAGGCATCCCAGGCTTCCATCCTGATGGCACCACGATATTTGGAGGAAGCATATCCTTGATTAACATATTAGCAAGTGGATTAGGCTCTGATGGATTTTCAGCCTGGCTGGAGATCGTATAATCTGGTGAGGTACATGTACATTAGCATTTTCAACTTCTATGAATATTGTTTGCTTCCAAATCAACACCAAATCGCGTAATGGACAGAAGCAATGCAGTCAATCAGTCATCACTGAAGCATAAACTACAACATAAATCAGTACATTCAGCAATAACATGATTCCATGAAAACAACATGGAGTTAATGGAATCATTTATGATAACAAATTGACCAAATTGTCTTGAGAGCAGTTGCAGTTCTACAGTCTACACAAATACAATGCATACTAATTTATGCAACCAGAAAAGCGAACGTTGAACATATTTTCTCCGCGAAATAAGATCTCATAACATAGTTCGAAATTCCTAAATCACGATCCACAGTTTTAACCACATACATACAAGAAATACAGAGATCCAAACATCACGCATACACAATTCCAAATTCAAGTAATTTAAACCATATATCGTGGTTCACCAATGAATTTCCAAACTAAACCAGAAAAAATTAACAGGCAACGTGAATATAAAATTTTAGAAATACTCAACAGATCATAAAATTGACAAATCTCTCGAGAAATTTGGGATTCAAAAGGTTGAGAGTTACTTGGTCGTGCTAGAAGTAGAAAAAGTGACCGGGAGACTATATAACTGGAAAAAGACTAATGGTTGGTTCCGGAGGAGGCATGCGTCACCGATAAGTGACCACCAGAGCAGCAACTGTCGTCGAACAGATGGATTTGATCCCCGGTTGGGAGAGGCGCGAAACGAGATATGATTTTCATATTGGGTTTTGATTGTACTCCACTATTTAAAGGTTTTTATATTTTAATCCATGCAGTTTTAGTCCTTATACTTTCAATTTTGTACAAGAAACCCCTATCTGAAAATCTAAAAGCCTTAATTTAGAAACGCAAACATGATCCCTTGATTTATATCGTCATGCAGTTTTAGTCCTTATACTTTCAATTTTGTACAAGGAACCCCTATCTGAAATACTAAAAGCCTTAATTTAGAAAAAAAACAAACATATTCATACTGATCTTTCCGTTAATCAATATCTCAAATTTCCTTCTGTTAATTGGAGTCGATTTGATTTTAAACGGATTCATCTAAGAAAGAATCGATCTATTCTTTGATGGTTTGTGGGGCTACGATGAATTGTGGGACCCAATGAGATGGGTTCACCGTTCACCTTAAATAAGGCTGGATTTGTTCGTATGCATTATGGGTTGCATAAAAAAGTACATCGAATTTTTGTCATCACGAGATATCAATGATTTATAGGCACGTTCTACAATCTGGCAAATCAAGTTTATTTTTGAGAATCAATAAGATCATGTAATACTTTGAGCAAAGTTGAATAACTTCAAACCAGTTAGGTTGTAGGGCACTGGTTAAAAATCTCAGGGGGGGGTATAGTGGAAAATCTCATTTATCCTTGGTTTGAATCCATACGTTGCCAAAGACTTTGTAGTCATTGAGGTTCACTTGCGATAACTCCAATCTATCTGTGGTCGCTCAGGGGATTAGTCGATACACACGTAAGTAAAGAAGTCTTTATATGTTATCATATGCTTAATATAGCAATAAACTTATATGATTTTAGTTAGTAGTCCTTTTCTTAAAAAAGGGCATGGCAATTCTATTAAAAGATGTTGCAAGAAAACACTTTCTTGCACTTTACAACCATTTCTATTTTAATGATACAAAATTGAATTAATAAATATAATTTAACAAAAAAAAGGGAATTATTGATCTTCTAGAAGACCAAAAACTTGACTATTGATGCATCAATGTGATATGAAGGCTACTTTTGTTTTATTAGGTGTATTTGTTGATTTTAGATCACCCATACTAATTAATATATATATATATATATATATATATATATATATATATATATATG